CTGAATAGCATTTTTTGCCTTTTTTTCCCTTCTTAAAATTTACAAAAAAATCTCCTGCAGTTTTGAAAATTTTAATTTTTAAAAGTTTTCAAAATTTGTAAGAAAATCTAGACCAATATATTGAACGAACAAAGTATATATCATAAAAATTACGTCTCCTATTGCAGTTTATTTCACTTTCTTGTCTTTCCTGTCAAACATTTTGCTTGTGAAATGTGGCTACATTCTTTCGAAGAAGGATCTTGAAATGTTCTCGCCCCTCTTTTTCTACCTCCATGTCAAATCTGTTTTTCTTTTCTTACTGGTAAAATTTTTTCAACTGCAGAATCATCCCCTAATACGTTGATTCATTTTTTCCTACAGCTTCTACTTATATTTAATTGGCGATTCCTAATTATTCGGAACTCTTTTTACATAATTAAGAAAATATTTTCAAACAAATTTGTCAGGAAAACTTTGTTTTTGCAGGATTTAAAGCATGTAACAATACAATGAAATAAATTTTTAACAATAAATTTACAAATGGAGATCGCAACTTATCAAAACCCATAGTTTTTTTTTGAATTTCCTTTTTTCTGAGAATTTTGCATAAAATCAAATATTGGTAATATGCAACAAAATAAATAACATTATTACCACCATAAGTTTAATGAAAAAAATGACAATGGTTGGATTAGTATTGCAAAATGGATGGATCCATATAAACATATGCTCTGGAGTCGACATTCCGACGATAAGAGAGAATATAATGGAAGCTTCGGTAGCAGTCATCGCACATATGAGCTGGACTTATTGGGAAACTTTCACTTTCAAGTATCCAGCTGAAAGAAGAATAAAGAAGATAAGCGCTTAAGAAGTGGTTGGAAAATTCAGTGAATAATTAAAATAAGGATATTGAAAGATAATAACGAAAACCACACTACATATCATCCTTTTTTCTTTCTCTGTTTTGTTTTATATAAAAATAATCGAGCCGGTTACTAATTACTATCACTAGCATCATTCTGCTTGAACGAAATTAACTGCAAACTATAAAATAGGATTTACTCTGCAATCCGTTTATGGCATGTAATGCAATAGTTTTCCATGCTTGTATCGGATAATTTTTGAGGAAAATCGATCGGATAATCTTGTACATCCATCAGTCGTAAATCGGTAAAAAAGAAAACATGTTCGCAATTACCCTGATGAACATAAACATACGGATATCCAAGACGACATACTAAGTCTTTAACCTAAAATGATAGTAACACTAGCAGCGAGCAAAAATGTAATAAAAGCTACGACTATCTCAAATTAAGCGATGATCGGATATTGCTTTCTCTTGCAATGTATCAGTGCAATATTTACTAGAAACATGGAAATAATTTTCCTTTATAGATTCAAACATATGGTTGCTTCGATTGCTACGTTTTCCTTTCATACAGTAATATATATTTCTCACAGTGTGAATGAAACTACTTGCATCAGTAAACAACTTATAATATGAAAAAGATTCTAAATTGATCAAGTCAGTTCATAGCACACTAACCTTGCCCTCATTGAGACTTTTAACTTGTGTTGGACCAAAATCCTTCGGTTTTCTTTTCATCCATTCACGTATAGGTCTAAAAATTCTATGTGATAAGAATGACAAAAAAGCAACGCGATAATCTACGAAATTAAAAGAATTCTTCCATGATAACAAACCATTTTCTGAATTACATATTCAAATTTCAGAAATACTTGTAAGTTCGTCTTATAAACACTTGCTAAGAGCAACGAAAAAGAATAGAGTTGTAAAATGTCAGCAAAATTGATAAAAAAGTTACGCTGAAATATCTATGTGAGGCTCAATTTTTGAATGATCGATTTGTAACAGTGTTTCCTTGGATCCAGTATAAGTTTCCGCTATATAAAATGTATCATGGATAAACAAGAATGACGACGGATATTTGAACTAAAAAATATGTCTTAGATTGCAAGGCAGAAAATGGGACCTCTAAAAACAAAAAAAAATTTTTATTTTATCCAAATAGGAACAGCTTAACTGACTCTAAAAAAATCAAAAATTTGTAAAATGCAGCTTCGAATGAATTTACAATTTAAAAATTCCTATACCATGTTAAAATCATGCAGTTGTGGCACTTTGTCTTCATCCACTGCCGTTCCATAATCCGCGGTACACCGAAATAAACTGTGCAGTTCAAGCAAAGATGTCTCACCACGTAATAGAAATCGCCAATATGGACGCAGCTATAATAAATTGGTTCATATTAAATTATTTTCTGCTTAGATGTGAAAGACTTGTTAAGGGCTTCACTTTCAATGAGCTCCCTCCTACCAATCAGCGCAAGGGAAAAATATTTAATTTCAGCATATCTTCAATGCGAAATAAAACTTCACACCGCAAACTCGATTGTTTTTCTACGAACCATAATCAGTGATTTAACTTTTGTACATAGTAAATGAAATGTGAAGCAGATTCACTATTACTAAAAATTACTAAAAACTAAAAATGAAATTACTAAAAATGAAAAAGTTTTATATCCAGAATTTTTAAGTAATTTTTAACAATTCACCGTTGCGTTTCGTTTTTCTAAATACTCCAAAGCTTTGTTATACGGTTTACAAATAACCACTGTTACTACAATATCATTTACTATCGACTGCTTATATCCGTCATTTCTGCAGTGTCTCATTTCCTAAAATTTAACAACTGAAAGTAATAGAAGCTGCAAAATACATATCACCAGTTCAGAAAAAACTTGTTGCCATGAAAACATGGTGGGGCCTTCTTTCATTTGCATTACTGATAACCTACATTTTCGTAATAATCACCATATTTGAGTACAGTACTACCGTAACATATGCTTTGCTGTATATTCCTCCTCATCTTCAGATCTTGTTCACGCTGCCTAAAATTAATAAATGCTTCATTCTCGTGAGATGTAATTTTTTTTTTTAAAGCAACTACTGACTTTTTTATCCAGTAATAAATCACTTGTAAAAAATTAACTTCTGCAATATAAGTTTAACCTGGCTCAAATAACAAAAAAACAAAAAATGTGGAAGGAAAAAGTGATGGAATTTTACCGTGGATCATCGTAACGACCTGCTGGCTTCTTCTTGATGGGATTAAACATATCTAACACCTTTTTTTTCAATCTGTAAATAAAGTGGAATTTTGAGTACTTTATTTCTACAATAAGACAGTTCAACTCTCAGGACGAGGGAGTCGGAAAAAGAATAAAGAAGTTTGGATTTCTAATACTTATAAAACAGAAGCACAAAATGGATGAATTAGGCTTGAATAAAAAATGATCTAATCATGTCAACATTACAATAGCAATAAGGTGATTAAAGTGATAATGCAATCAGCCACTGAATCATTTAAATTACATACTTCAAAGTTTCTAGTTCCGTATCGGCCGGTATATCTTCAAGATCAACTTTCTTCCGAAAGAATATATCTCGTTTATTGAGTAAAGCAAAATGACTGACGCTGAAAAAATCCCTTTATTGTAAAAGATTTTAAAAAAATTTACATTATATTTCTTTTTCAAAAAGTAAAAATTAATTTCATGTTAAAAAATCCATATGCTTTATTTTAAAAAAGAAAATTTGCATTATGTTTTCTTTTTAAATAAGGATAAATTAACTTCATGCTTAATTCTTATGAAAGAAGTCATGAGAAGAAAAATTCACGCAATGTTCATTTTAAAAAGGCTTGAGACATAATAATACGAGAAAGTCAAACTTACTCTAAACTAGAAACCGTATCTCTCGCATCATCACATTGTATACCAAATACCTTCTGTAATTTTGCAGCTGTTGTTTCATTATCATCTGTGGCTTCACTTTCAAGCAATACACGTTTATGAACGTGTAACGGAGCCTCAGGCACGTCAGCTGGATAACTGAACTCGAGTAATGGTTCCAATAAAACAACTCTTCGCAAACAATCTCGTTGCTTCCGTGCGACCTAATTTTACTAAATCTGTATTTTAAATATGGTATTTAAACAGCATATCAACACAGCACTATATCAATACTGTTTAATTTACCACAGATTTAAGTCTTCGTTCGATAAAAATGAATTTCAACCTGTAAAAGTTTGGAAATGAGGAATGTAACTCAAGAAATGAAATGAGATAGAGGAAGTGAGAAGCGCGATATGACACCGATATCTATATCGGAAATATCATGAGTATCAACCAGAAAACTTTCTGCGTAACGCTCTTTTTTCTTTTTTTTTCGAGCGTCCAGAGCTTTCTATAAACAGATCATTCAAAGAATTCAATTGATACTCATAGAAAAAGTAAACAAACACCTGTCCAAATGTGTTGAAATTGACCAAAGGTGAAATGAATTCATTCTCCTCTGGTTTAAAAATCTTATCCATCGCCATCTTTGCTCTTTCTGCTCTTCTTAATATTGTACACTGCAAAAAACATCCACAATATGTCACTGTTCAGTTGAAAAATTTTAATTTCGATCTCACTTTGGCAACAACAAAACATTATTACGCTGCTAGATCTTTCGGAATTAAAATTTCATATTAAAACATGAATTAAAACACGATATATGGCAATATATGGTATCGAATATATATAATACACAAGGTAAACATGATTATATCGTCAAACGGACTAATCATAAATGATTCAATCCAGCAAAAAAAAAAACAATAAATGATTATGATGATCTGAATTTGAAACCGGAAAATTCTCAACGATTAATTTAGTTCTTGTTTCGGGTAGTGATCTTGACCTATTTCTCTTGACCTACCCACATTTGATATATGAATAAGATATATTATTAGCAGATATGACCCTCTCTGAATATTGCCAGTACTGCATTCCAACTAATCTTCTTATTTACAATCAACGGTACAAACAATAATTGCAACTATTTTAAAGGACAAAATAATTTCATACAACGTTTCATCGAATATTTCCATGCAATAATTTCAGCATCCGGGAGTTTAAATCGACACCGTACCGGATTGATTTGAGGCGATGTTTCAGAAACCGTTTGCGATAAAAAGTGATAAGAGTATCCGGAATTCGGATAAGTCAGTTATTTTTACTTAATTGACAAAATAGTTATTCGATATAACTATCTAGTCGGTCATTCAAGTTAGGATGGTCCGGTTGTGAATTTTTGAAAATAAAAAATAAACATGGAAGAAGCCAATAATACTCTTATATGATCACATATCAAAAAGAAAGAAAAATTTTCTAAATTTAATTTTGTTAGATGTCTTTTATTGCAGGAAAAAGCTATTGGCCCGTTTACCTTCCATTGATGGCATCACCAACAAAACGATGTCTTCTTTAATGCATGTGAAATGCAACAAAGGAGAAGATGTGAATGTTTATACTTTCGAGAAAGAACCTTTGTTGTTTACTATAGTGGGAGAAAAAGTACTCTATCCTACAGGTTTGTGAAGTTGGTCAAAAAAAATAAACATTGATATGAGACGCTCGTGATATTTTCGTATGAACCAAGATTGAAGCAAATGCAAAAAAAATTTATTCGGAATAAATTCTAGACTAATAAAGAAAGAGTTAGTTAATGCTCTTTACTTTTTTCCAGTTTATCTGACGTGGAGAATACCGGAAGCGTTCCCTGTACTTGTCATCAATGAGTATGTATATCAAAAACTGTTGGGAGGAGCTGATTTATTCCTTCAAGGTTAGTGGCTTTTTGAAAATTTTGCTATTTCTCTGAAATTTACTATTTCTAGGTGTAATTAATCCATTACGGCAAACTTTGGAGTTTGATAGTCATGCAGCAATAACGATATCTGTCTTATCGTCATCAAATCAGCTTCGAGGTTTGTCAATTCGTTTTCTCATGGTTTTCTTTACTTTAATGTATACCTACCCTGTTTCCAGTTCCATTATTCTTTCATGATAAGTGCTTTGCTCGTCAATTTCATTTCTTTCGTATACAAATCAGTTTATTGAATTCTATTTACGCTAATATTTGTGTCAGTAATTTTGATTGAAAAACTGGAAATAGCTAAATTTGTACACGATTTAGTGGGTCATAAATATTGTGTAATTTCAAAATCCTATGAAAACAGTAATATGTTAACGTGGAAGTGATTTCTTCGTCTATATATATTTAATGTTTTAACAGTTTCAAAAGTCAATAACAATATATTTATGTATTTAAGGTCCTGTAGCCGTAGGGTATTCATTAATGTCATCGATGCAAATGATAGCGAATGGTATGCAGGGACCAGGTGTTCGTTTGTTGCACTTTTACGGCGATCTGCTTTGGTTAGCTTCTGGTATACTGATATATTATTTATGCGATATATATACATAACATACGCATTTCCATGTATATGTTGTACATTGTTAGATTTCTTCGTGTATATATGATATTTCAGTGTCAATGAAATAATATGTCTCTGCATTTTCAATCCTCTTACCAGTTCAAATAAATAGTTGCTTCGACTTGAGTCACTCGACCTTTGATCATTACAAGTATATGTGGCTTGTATTTTCAGGGATGTGGGAACGCGTGCAAAGCCCTTGGAAGTCTCAGCTGAAAGGATGGGTTTAGCAAATGCATCATCCCGAAGTTATGAAACTGAATTTCCAGCCTTGGATTCCTTAGTTTTGAACGAAAATACTGCCGAAGTGCGTAATGAAGCAATTAAAAATTCATCGTTTGATGCTGTTTTGGATGATAGGCGAGAATGTGCTGAATTAACCATTGCTTCAGAAGAGCAGGCTGAAAAAGAACAGAAGGATTCTGACACAGTGGAAAGTTTGGTTGGTTTTTCTGGATCTGTTTGATTGTTTATTCGAGTTTTTTTTATGACTAAGATTTTCAGGTAAGATTACTAATATTTTCTGAAATCTTGTTTTTATGCAGCCGCCGTTTATGGAATCATTTCACGAGAATTCTACGTATAAAAATTCAAAGAAACAACAAAATTATTTTGAAGTCATAGAAGTGAATTTTCTTTTTTTTTTAGCTAAAACGTTGTTTTTTGGCTGCACTGAAGTATCGTGTAACTAAAAAAGGCCAACTACCATTGGATGTTGGAGAATTTTATTCACATTTCCTTCTACCATGTATACCATCGGGTAGACGGATTGATATGAAAAAAACAGTGTACAAGAAATTCAGTGTTTTTCTGGAAGATATTAATAAAAGTGGAAGTGAACCCATCGTAAAACTCATAGTAAATAAAAATAAGGGGTCAACAATGATTGCAGAGGTTTGTGTTAGAAACAGCGTGTTCCATTTTTCTTTCATTTCTCAATTTGCAGTAATGACTTCATTCCTTTTTGTGAAGATTTGGCTTTCTGTATGAAATTTAATAGGTTCTGTGGCTTAGCTGATTTGAGTGAAGTATATCTTCGGAATATTCTAATAATCTGTTTCGATGATATTTCTTTTTTTGGACGACACTGTTATTAGGAAACAGTTAAGATGACAGAGACATTTCTTTATAATTTAAATGTTTTACAGTGATTTTTTAATTGATAGTTGTTATTATTTCAGATAAATTGGATGCATCCATTCTTGAAGGATTTTGAGATAACCGATGAGATAATTGATAATCAAAAAATTGAAAAGAGACTGATCAAAGTGGATGATTACCTCGCAGTTACCAAACCAGTTTCAGCAATTTTTCGGAATGAATATGGAAAAGATAAGTTGATGGATAAGAAACAAGTAAGGGAGATAATTACTGCATACGTTAAAAGCATGGTAAGTTATATATTCGATGTTAATTTTTTAGATTAATTTCAGAGCGCTCATAGTAATCTTTTTCAAACTTTTTTTTTTTAATTTTTCAGCCTTGGTAAAGGAATTGTATAGAATTATTTCTTATGATTTAGATTTTTTTGTTAGTGATATTTTACAACATTATCAAGCAGTCTAAACTATAGGAGTCTTAGATATTATATTGATATTTGAACTATTGAAAACAAAAGTTTGGTCAGCGCAGTACTCATTTTTGTTGAATTCTCATATTAATTCTCTTTTTGAACTATTCCATCCTTATGGTAATTTTTACACATTGTTTAAATGCTTAAGGACTTTAAATTATTACTTTCCACTTATTTTTAGAATCCAACTATGAAGGGTAACCTAATCTTACCGAGTGATAACGTATTGGTGTCATTGTTGGAATCTCGTGAGCCAGTGGACTGGAATACGTTGTTCCAAAAGATTGTTTCGAAAATGACGAAAACCTACGTAATTACCTGGGCTGACGGACGACAACTGATACGGAAGTCAACGCTTCCAAAAATAATATTTAAGGTTGAAGTTTTTTGTAGTAGACAGAGCATTCTTGATAAATTTGCATCCAGTTTTTTTCCTAAAAAATCCACTTTTCTCTGTAGGTCAATAGTATTTTGATATATATTTTGCAATGCACTAGATTATGAAATGCAGATAGACTGGTAATAATGTTCTTGCACATAATGGTTGGTAATAAACAGAAATTATAACAATGTCAACATTTGTGAATTATTGTACTGATATTTGTTCAAAATTCATTTCTTCCTTGTTGATTACTTTTTTTAACATTTCATTCGTTATTTCATTTACACAAAATATGCATATATTGGAGTGCAATTCACAATATATTAAAGTGTGAAACGAAGTGAGAAAGTTAATGTTTTAACATTAACGTTTGAAAAGCCATTTTCTTAAAAAGTAATTTCCTAGGAATTCCACAGTCATAAGTTCTAGATTGAAAATCGCGCTGGTAATAAGAAAGTAACGTTGGTGAATAATCTAAGCATTTATGGAATCGATCCTAAAAAATTTTGCCATGAAATACAGACAGGTGTGGCGACAAGTGCTGTTGTTGTAAATAATGCTGCAGAATGCGAAGGTTTCCAAATTTTTGTGCAAGGAAATCAAGTAAGTCTTCCCTGTTTTCTTTCTTAATATTTTAATTCTATAACATTTTGAAACCATTTCTTGTTAATTTTGATAATATTCTGAATTTTGGTAAAAAAGCTAGAACATTCTAATTGAATCGATATCTTTGGTTAAGTTTTTTTAATGCAGAATTTAATGAATGTTTTTTTTAATATCAAGGAGTCAGTTTTTTACAGATTTTTTTTTTGATTGTAATCCTTATCTGTTCCGTCACTAATCAGGCGGACTTTATTTTCAGATTCTTTTCATCAGCAATCTTCTTTCCACATACGGTATTGAAAAGAAGCATATGGTAGGCCTCGAACTCATTCCGAAACAGTGATAGTTGTACTTGTTTCAAAAAAGTGATATGTTCTATATATTAGTTTTGTTTATATTTTATTTACCTGGGAATCTTCAAACAATCCGGAAATACCTTATCTACTGTTCACTATCATTCATATTTTCGGTAATTTTTATCGTGCTTTACAAATCTTTTGCAATTATGATGAAAATGAGAATTTTTGTAGCATTTAAAAAAGGATTTCGTTTCGGAGGGTCTATTAATGAATGATTTTTGTAGAAGCCTACCTTTTGACTACTGAAAATCTCAATTTGAATTTTTTTGTTGTTTTCTTATTTTTATTGTTTTTTTTTGTTAGGATATAATCTTCAGTGAAATCGAAGTGCTCTTTTTGTTTTCTGAGAAATATTACGTTATATGGTGAACTGTTATGTAGGGCTCAGTTTTTATTAGCGTTAATTTATAATACAAGAGATTTTGTTAGATTTTTTTCACTCAGCTGGCAAGAATGTTTTCGTTTCTTGACCAGTGGCTATACTCATGTTATCAGCTTTCCGGTAAATTTTTGTGTTGATGAACACAAAATTACGGGTTGTCTTTTGGACGGTTGACTCGGCAATAATCGTTTCACCGGATTTCGCTGCGCTTTGGTACCTGGCAGCTTTGGTACTAGTTAATTTGGCTTTAAAATTTTCAACTATGTTCTGTTTATTTCTTCGTGCTTGTTTCAAAATGCTATTTCAAACTACAGTAAAGTTCAGATAAAATTTCAATGATTTGATAAACAAATTTAACAATAATTCAATTTAAGTTTCTGAAGAAACTGGATTCATTCGGGACTATGTTTATTAGTAATTCAAGATATAAGTAATTCTGAATAATATCAAACTTTTAACTTACGAAACGGATAAATCCACAGAACGTCCACCTGTCGGTCTACCGGAATCGAGAACAGCTGCAGTGGAAGCGATGTTGACTAATGTTGCCGTAAAGCCGCCGTGTATTGTACTGGACGGATTCAGATGTTCATCGGCTACTTCCAATTCAATTTCAACATGTCCGTTTCCAGTAGCTTTGTTTATCACACACTATAATAATTAGGAATGAGCATATGACCAGGTGACCATTACTGGAAAATATGAAGGAACATTCGAAGTTGTAGCATTATTTTCTTTAGGATTTATATTACGAAGTACGGAAGAGTGGTAAAAGGATTGCGATTGTTTGCTTAAGTTTTTGGCAGAAATAGATCGATTGTTGTACCACTTTTGCTTAACTGATCATTAATAACAGCGATGCTTACTCGTTATCAATGTCTCACTATTCAAAATTTACATTTTTTTATAGATGACAAAATGTATATTAGATGGAACTTTCTAAGTCAACTTAAATTGATCTTCAAGAATTGCCTTAAAATTAATTTACCCAGTCAAAAATTAGCATTTATCCGGGTGGAAAACTACATGATCTTAAAACACATCGATAAAGGAAGCATTTCAATTCTTTCATATTTGGTATAAATGATTGTTTAGATCTCAGCTTAGCAATATTTGCTTTCCGACTGCTTATAAGCTCATGCTAATGACAATTTGATTGGTTAATGACAAAATCTTTTGTATAAAAATTGAGAATGGTTAAAATTATTTCATTACGTGGGAAATTTTGAGAACTTACATTTCGTAAGCAATATGCGAAATCTTTCGTTATCTCAAAATCACGAAACATTTTCTTAAGATGGATTAAACCTTTGTTAGTAGTCATAGTTCCTGTAAAATAATGGGAATTTAGAAATAATAAATCAAATCATTAGATGATCCCGAAACATATGACAATACTAAATCTAAACTCGAGAAAATTTGAAATTAACCAATAGGTCATGTTTATCACTACATGTGACGGGATTGTTTCATTATCGATCAAATGTGTACCGCGATATTTGCTGTAGCAAGGGAATGGTCACGTAAGGCAGGCATTATGTACTAATATTTGTCAGGTTAAGTTGTGATAACTGAACATTTCAGGATTGTGATGGATCCAGCATTATTAAAACAACAAGCAGCATTCAAAGCTCGAGCTTCACAAGCTATTGAAATGACTTGGAAAAGTGCAGCATCAACATCTCACAGCACATATGAGTATGTTTTCTTCTGCTCTTGCATTTTATTCAAGATAAATGCATGGTAATTTTAATGTTTGGAAATGGTAATTTTGGTAATTAATTTTAATGAAAAAAAATAATAATAAGTTTGGAAATTTTTAGTGCAGAAGCAAGTCGAAAGAGAAAACGCAAAGTACACAACGATTCACAATTATCAGTCAAATGTAAGCTCTTTACATTTCATATATTATTTTGCACATATTTGATGTTATCATATAATGATCTCTTACTAAGCATTTTTTGACCGTATAGTAAGTAAAATTACATCACTTTTTCTGATGTTATGAAATGTCATATTACATGAATTCTTATTATAGTTTACATCGATATCAAAGTTGTTGTTGCGGTTTATGCAAAAGCAACACTTGTGAATATTTCTACCTCAAGAGGTTATATTTTGTGAGAGCCATCATTTCTGTTTTTATAAAATTTCATTTTTCCAGCTTTATCTGATTATAGTATTAAAACTACTCCCCACTCGACATCAAATGCTGTAAATTTTGGGACGATGGCGAAAATCGTTGATTATATGAAGGTAATGTGAATTTCACTCCTTTGTTGTTATTTGTCACTGATCTTTATTTCCAGTCAGAAGACAGCTTATTTATTTTTTACTATTTCAAGTTGTAATAACTATATAAGTTGTTTAAGGAAGATTATTCTTTTTTACTTTATAGACCTTTCCTACTCAAATAAAATGGACAACTATCGAATGGGAACTTTTCCGATTCATGGTATAGTTAGAAGTTAGTGTAAATGAAATGATTTAACAGTTAGAATTATAGCAGTTAGTGAATAGTGTTCTTTCAGTTATTAAATTTAGTCTTTATGTGGTTAGATCTGCAGAGTTTTGTTACTCTGTTACTTCTAGAAACGACATTTATCATCACAGCAATGGTCGTTAAGTTTGAAGGAAATATTGGAAGAGTTACAAATATACGATCTTGGGAAGAAATCGGAGTTATGGCTTCAGGAAGTCTGTTTTTTTTTTTATTTTTTTGCTTTTTCTAATTAGATCTTTAGAAATTTACTTTTATTCATAATTCGGAAGCTTTTAAATTCCGTTAAAATTTTAAAGAATAATTACATTTTTCATATATTTTGCGGAAAATTTTTTGAACTGTGCAGTCAATTCTGCTGTTTAATCTTTTTAATCCTATAATTTACTGAACAAAAAGCAAATTCATCCTTTTAGTCTTTGCCGATGAATCCACGGTTAACTGTTGATGAAAATGGGAAATATCTTTTCAAGCCGCCTTACAAGATAAAAGGAAAGAATTCTTTGTTAGCACTGCTCAAAAAATATCACATAGAAGGAAAGGGCGGCATTTTATTATCGGATCTCAACGAGTGCATACCGGCTGCTGAAAAGCATGTTGAGGTTTATAATATAAATTTGGCAGATTTTATTAATTGTTTATCTTTTTTTGGAAATATTACAGATTTATCCATTTAGGCGCTTAGTAACGCTGTAATTGATATACAGACGATGGTCAACAAACGCAAAGATCACGTTTATTTTTATAATGATCCTGATACTGATTACGAAGTTGATGAAAGTAAGATATGTTTCCTGTCCCCACATTACAAACAGAAATTTTGGAACTTGTTTTGCTTACAGCGTCCATTTATTGTTNAACAGTAATATANCTATCTCTTTTTTCAATTCGGATATTTTAGTTTACGTTATGGATAAAAAATTTTGGAAGTGGTTTTTATGAGAACAAAAATTTTTAATAAACTTATGAATAAATGATATAATATTAAGTTTTATTAGCTGTGATGATTATTGTAGGAACAGTAGAACTTTAGCAGATAGATTTTAAAGGAAATGAAATTTATTCAAGTTTGACTGTAAAAAATAAGATCAATGAGGCATTGTGCGCGTATCTTCTAATTTTGAAAGAATAGTATGTATAATCTTACCTATCATTTTTGCAGAATTCAAAAGTCTGTGGAGGAACGCATCTGTTGATCATCTAGACGAGAAGAAGATTGAAGAATATCTTCAGAAACATGGAATTGATGTGATGAAAGATTTCGGACCAAAGAAAGTAATTATTTCACCGCCGAAACGAAAACTTCCACGCCGACGGGCTAATCAAAAAGTTCATAACGAACATTTGGCTGATGTTTTAGAAGATTATTCAACTTAATTGCAATACTGATTAAAGTAGTAGGTCTCGAACTGAAGAATGCATTAGAAAATACAAAATTTTCTAGCTGGAAAATGCATTCAAATCAAATATCCTTTGTTTTATTTTTAATGCTTTTGGCTCGCTGTGGTATTATTGATTCATCTTTTCATTTTATTAAAATAATCATATTATATAATGATTTCATATAAACAAATCTTTTAATCTCGCTGATGATGCCCAGCGTTGGCGAAACAATGTTATTTAATTGAGTCTTTCAGATGTTCCAGAGATTGTAAACAAGAAATGAAATAAAATTTTTAACTAAATTTTATTCATAGCGACTTTGAGGTGTATAATCTCTTGCATTTACTCGGATTGAAGACTTTTTGTATGTCAGAATTAAAGTCATTTAGCATTTACCACGAGCTAATCTCGATTTTAAATACGAGCTGTTAGTGTAAACTTTGAGAGATAGGAATTGAATCAAGCAGATAGTAGAAAAAAGGGGGCAAAGAATTCGTGGTTTATATTTCAGTTGCAAGATATCAGCAGCGGTACCTGTTTCTACATTATATTACGAAAAGAGTGCTGCTGTCATCCAATCGCGGAATTTGAAATCGCTTAAAACAGGAAATGCCCCAAATCGCTTATCTTTTGGTGACCTTTGGTACCCAATAGCGGTAATGAAATTAAATTGTAAACAATGAGGCAGGGAATGGAAAGAGAGAGGCATCAATGGGAACAGCCTGTTTGGCCGGTCGCGAGTGGTATTAATATCCGGAACGTTTTTGATCAGTGATGCTGGGAAGTGCAGTGAAAAAATAGATGTTTGCAATTTCGTAGGTTTTGTAATCGAAAAATGGTTAATGAGGGCATGTCCACGGGTGCCGGGTGACTTTTTGGTTTGGTTGACATGACATTTGACCCGGATGCAGTGACATGGTGTGCAAGCGACTGAAATTTCAACGAAAAAGGTGGGTCGCATGGAAATGCTTCCTTTTTGCTTATTAGAAACCTGTTTGTAAATTTCTACAATCTATTGCCCTTCCTTTTTTAGCAGTGTTACTGGAACGAGAAAGACAACAAAAATTGCATCCTAAAACGGAAGTAATGCAACACCGTAAATGAATAGCTTCGATTTGAGTGTTGTTGATAGTGTTCATTTCCGCTTATGTAAGCTTTCATTGAATTACGGTACAGTGAGATTGACAGATAGTTTTTATGCAAATTTAATGAAATAGTGACTGCGTGGAAAGTACCAAGTGTTTTGGAATTTGTGCGACAAATGATTATTGCTTTTAAGAATTTAAAAAAAGAATAAATTCTAATTTGTATTCACTTTCTGCTTGCAACGATTTTTAATTATCTTTTGGCTATTACATTTCTGAATATCAATATATGTATGGTTGATCGATTGGAAGAATTAATTATAATCCTAAAAATGATAATACTAACAGTATTATACCATAAAACTTTAGCGTGGAAATTTTTTTTTTTTGTAAAAAGCAAAATTTATTACAACTGCAACGAAAGTTAATTTGTGCAGCACCTTTTTTTCCTTTTTTCTTTAAATAGGTGACCTATTTGGACTTGACCTCACCTTCTCTCTTGACCCCCTTATTGCTCATTTACACTGAATTTTGAATTTTAAGAGTAATAAATTGTACGAACTTATTAAAATTTGTGAAAAAAATGTTTATTTGATATAACAGCAGTAATAACAGTAATAATCGTGATAATATATTGTTACCGATAAAATAGAACTTTTGTTCCTGATCGTCTCTTCCTTAATCCGGAATTTTTAGCAACAAAACAAATATACCGACATGATTTTTTTTTCCTTCCTTTTCAAAATAATACATGAACAATTCAGTAAAGCTGTTTATTTAGAGCGCAACAAAAGTGCAACTGTTCCGGTCTTAATTTTGTTAATAAACGTATTAAAATTCGGTCACTTTTTAGTCTTGATTGTTTACGATCTCTTTTCCGGAAATTATCTAAATAAAATTCATATAAAAAAGAAATAACTAATAAAAAAATGCAAAATAAAAAATATATTTTATGATAAAAAGAAAGCTCTGCATTATAACGAAAATAGCGAATGCATCATTGCATCAATAATTTTCGACAAATAATTATCTAAAATTCAAATGATGAATTAGTTAAATTAATTTTCCTAGTATTTAATTCATTCTTCCAAGTACATTCATTAGTATAATGCTTATGTATTATATATTTTTTGGAAATTACTATTGATTTTTCCCGATATTTTCTGCAGTGTTCAGTGCTTTGATGCTGTGATGCTACTGTATGATTTGAAATTTTATTGTTGAAATAATGAATTATTGATCCATTTCGGTCAACTATATAAATTACTTTTTATCATTTGGAATACTTAAATTATTGCTGATGAGAATGACAAATATGTTGTTGAGAAATTTGTAATTTTTAGTAATTTTGATGTTTTTATGCAATATTTTATTGTTTTGTTTGTTTTCAAAATTAAAAAAAAAAATCCATAAATCAATTTTACCTTTATTGAAATTCATCGGAAATCTTGAAAAAAAAAAGAGAAACAGTAAGCAATGTAATTTGATGATATTGAAAATGATTAAATTTCAATTATCTCGCATTCACTAGAATAAAATAGTTAAATTTCAATTAATACTACTGATCTGTTGGAATTTCCAATTGACATTAGTGAAAGTATCAAATTATCATATCGAAAATATAAAATTATTGCTTAAAAAGTTTATTGACAATTACATATAACGCTTTATTGTTTATAACAAAAAATGAGAATGTAAAAATATCACAGGATTAGTGATATGAGATGTATTGAAATTTTGAATTGGCTATGTTTTTTTTTTTTATTTAGCAAAAAGTGAAAATTATTTTTCAGGTCATTAATCGCGAGGTTAACAATACATTTCCATTGCACAGAGCATTGTTTTTTTTTTTTCCTTTTCTGACAAATTAAGACGAAATAGCCCATTTACTTTTTCGAAAAAACATTTCTTTTTCTTTTATAAAACTTGTTTTTCTTCTTTTTGCTCCAAAAATCCAAAAAAATTTTGGGATATTTTTAAATTACTGGTTACTACTGTTTGACCTATTGATACTGGATAATTAGTAGTAGTAATAATGGTAGTAGTAGCAGGGATTATTTTAGTTAATTTTGATAGTAGTAGTTGTAATAGTAGGTAATAGCAATTGTAGTAACAGTAGTAATAGTGATAATAAATGCATACCTATGTCCGTATTTGTCGATTTGTTTATGTATGTATGCAAAACATGCTTTTGCATTGCTGGAGGGCATAAAATTCTGGTTTTTACGATGCATGAATTGGTGCAACTAAAAAGCCGAGATTACAACCTAATTATCCACGAAAATCAACGAAACAACAACAGCAGCAGTAACAATGACGATTGACCAATGAATTTATGCATGAATTCTACTTTTCCGGATTTTCAACCTTTTACCTTTTTCCATTCATCCATCCATCCATCCATCCATCCAACCAACCAACCAACCAACCATTTATCCGCCCATTTCTTTCGTTAATAACAAAACGCAACAGCAATAGTAGCAAAATACAGCAGAAATATGAAAGAAGGATTCATTACTGCACAAGTGGGATATAAAAATGTGGTGATAACGATCCAGTTACTAACAAACGGCACCACAATCACCACTATCTTTTCTTTCCATTTTGCAATGTTCTACCATACTAGTCATCAACTATGGTACCACTATATGTTATACATTACTGGTACCTTACTTCTACTAATTACTCAACGAATACAGGCGAAATTTTTCAATGTGCATAAACCTGATCGAACACTTATTGTATTATCAGCACCATCGATATGGTTTGTGTTGCTATGATTTTATACAGATTTAAATAAATATCTTTGAGATTAAATTAGTTTAAAATGATACGTGAAATTAAATGATCCATTTTAAATGAATTTTAATGATATAAGCATAAAAAACAATTCAATATTACTTTATCATTTTCAAAAGTGTTTCCTTTCTTCATTAATTCTATTTGACATGTAATTTCTAAGTTAAAATTCACAAAAAACTTAACGATTATCAATTATTTTATCAAATTAATTGTCAAATTTCTTTAAAATTAACTTATTTTATCGATGACTATCATCGTCATGCAGATAATTCTTTTCTTCTCTCTTTTTCTGATGTTCAATATGTGCTACTGCATTTGTAAATATTGAACAACTCTTTATCATTTTAAGTGTATTTGAAATGATTGAAGTGATTCTGAACTACTAACTAATAATAAGCCAATTAATTGAATCATTTTTAATTTTAGTAGGATTTAACTACAGTACCAAGATTTGATCACTGTAACAGTTCCATTTCTGAACATTTGACCGTGAGAAATTGACGGATGTGAAATTGATCATTTATCGGAATATCGGTTAAAACCAGTTTTCAATGATATCCAATTGTATTGTTCATTTTTTTTCCCCAAACTGGCAAAAGATGAGAAAAAAAAAAGACCTTTTTAAGGGTTTTTAATTGCTATCAAGAATTGGAAAATACTATACATATAATATCAATTCAGTAAGCATAGTTGTAATTCAAATATTTAATCTGTACAGTTTAATTTTGAAATTTTAAAAATTATGAAGAAATTTTTTTTCAGAGAAAAGAAATTCTTTTTTTTTTTTTTGCTTACCTTAACTTTTACATTTCATTTCAATGCTCAAATTATCCGATCTTTTAAAGCATAGTATGTTCAATCTTTTTTTTTTTTTTGAAATCTGTTTAACTTGAAATTTTTATAATTATATGAAAATAAACAACTCTTTCTTTTCAGGGACGACAATTATCATGATTTATTTGAGGCAATTATTGCATTTCAAATCGAATTCGCAAAAACAATACATGGTATCTGTTTAATGATTTTGGATGAAATTGCCATTTAAAAAAATGACAGTTACAGCTATTTATCGGCGTTAACCATGAATGATAGGGTATTTTTCTTGATCATAGTATTAAAATTGATAATTAAAATGAACGATACATTGTTGATAGCTAAAGGATAGCTTTAATTCTTTTAGGACTTTTTGAATTGCAGCATAAAGGTTAAAATTTGAATGGTAGAATATTTTAAAAATGTGGAACTTCAAATGAGCGTAGATTTTCTAATTCTAGCTAAATTTTAATTTGAATATCGATTTTTTTTCTACAGAACACGATAACGTAGTAATACTTGCTGATAAGCATACATTACCATATTTGGATGGAAGAAGTCCGTCCGTGAAATCACGTTTACCGTTAGATGCTTTGATTCAGGCATCCGTTTATGATATCAATATTAGGGATTTTGCACCATTTGGTGTACGACAACTTGTCAAATTTTCTTACAGGTTCTTTTTTTTTTTTTT